TAGTAGTTTAAAATACAAAATAATCACAATTATTATTTTACAGACTGTTATTTCAAAACAAGTTCAAGTAATGGGTTATGATGCTGGCATGTGAAACTAGCCAAATATTGTTACACATCACAGCATCTAAGGTATCTATAGCGTGGGGTTCCAGTAAAAGAGGGATTTTTGTTGTTGCTCTTTTATTGAAATAATACTTACTGAACTAATTTCGTTATGTAAAAAGACAGAAGCACTGCATGGAAAGTCAGCCTGAAAACTACCAGAGTCTGTTGATACTGTGGTTAAGGATGCTGTAAAAAAAAGGAATAGCTTCAGTCCTTCATTAATACACTGAGTGCCCTCTAAATCTCTGTATTAATGTGTTCTCTGCACAAATACTTAAGGTGATCAAGACACTTACCACGAGAAGAGAGGCACAGAGATCTTGCTGGCTGAAGGTGCTTACCAATCAATCTCTTAGTTTCCATTTGTTAAAACACTTGGAGATGCCATGCTGGAAAATAAACAGCCCCAAAATATATACAGATGGGAAACCGGACAATTAAAAGTGTACTATTTCAGGACTTCCCAACGCCATGTCTAGTACTTAAGTCCTTGCCTAAACCCTCCCCCATCTTCCTACCCACCCATCCTGTCCACATTTTAAAAAAAGTTAGTGGCTGGGCTAGGACGCGACTGCACGATAAAGGAAATCTGAATTGGACGTGTATGTCTGTAAAACTCCTCAAGCCGCCTCCACTCAAAAACGCCCACTGAGTTTGGTAGGGGTTAAAAAAAGCGAACTCTTTGGGAACGGTAAGAAACGGCGGACACTCTCAGGGGCCTTCATAAAAGAGCGCTAAATTGATAAGGAAGAACTACCGTACTTCATAAGCACTTAAACAATAAAAAAATATTTTCCTATTTTCGGGCAGCTCGGGCGGCAAAAACGGCCGCGGCCGCCCTTTAGGGCCATGCGCTTGATGCGCATGCGCGGTTCCCTTTCTGGCGCGGCCTCGCCGTTTCTCTGGAGCCATGGCGTTCGACCTTTTTGTTGGTCGACGACTCGACGGCCCCTTCTTCTTCCTCTCTCTTTTTTTAAAGCGAGGCCTGCTTACCAGCACTCTGCGCTCTCACCCCAGGAGCAAGAGCGGCGCCGGCCGTTCCCGTGAGCGCAAGGAGCGGTCTTCGAGAGGGAACCGGACGGGACAGCCCGGCTAAGTGACGGCCCGAATGTTTGTGGCGGAGAAGCAGCTAACCGCCGCCTCGGCAGAGTCGCCAGTATTCTAAAGGCGCGCGCAGGGAACCTGGCGGCAGCCGTTACTGTCCATCATCGTCGTTGTCGTCATCATTATCACCATCGACCACAGACCCTTTTTTTTTTTAAAACCAAAGTTGGCTTTGGAGGCCTGCTTACCAGCACTCATCGCTCTCACCCCTGACTCTTTGCCTTTGGCTTCTCGGCGTTCGTTTGCGGGCACACACCTGTGGAGAACGGGAAGGCTCCTCCCGTTTCTTGCCTTCGCTCTTTTATATCCATTTATTTCGAAGAATCTTAGGTTTCTTACTGCTGTTCGAAAGCGCATAAAAGGGAATATAAAAATATTTAAAGGGTAACCGTTAAATAATTTGGCATACGTTTAGTAAAGCCTAAAAGTGTAAGAGACCTCTAGTTAGCCTGCATATTCTTTAAGCAAGTTAGATATAGGTTAACAGAGTTAGAAGGGACCTTGTAGGTCATCTAGTCCAACTCCCTACCCAAGCAGCACACCCTACAGCATTTGACTTTTTTCCCCATTGAGTTATAAGATAAGATACAAAATACAAAAATAAATAGGAAAACAGTTGGGAGGAAGGGGCAGGACGAAAAGTGAGGAAAGATTAGGAAAAGGAAAAAGAATTGACTTCTGACTCTGTTGCAGTAAAATAAGGCATTAATGTCAAATCACAACTTTTTGTTTTTGCATAATAATATAAACTAGCCATTTCTATCTGTCAGTCTAATAGGTAAAACCCAAAATCAAAGCTTCATTCTTTGCCACTTCAAACACAAAGTGCAGAAGCTGTCTCCATGTGGAAGCAAAAGCATTTATAGTCTTCTTTAATCAAAACGGTCAATTTTGCCATTTCAGCCAACTCCCATCTGTTTCTGCAACCATTTGTCTGTGGTAGAAATTGAAGTGTCCTTCCATTTTTGTGCATACAATAGTCTTGTTATAAAAGCTAAATGCATAGAGACGTCTGGTTATCTTGCATGTTCTTCAAGAAGGTGATTCTGTTGCCTCAAACTTTAGGTTTCATTATTAACTTTTAAAAAATAATACTAACACTTTCAACATGGCAATGGAGGCCACTTTTTTAACTTCGGGAAAAATGTGTTTTTTTCCCTTTTCAGTCAAGACTTTTCTTTTGGTAAATGAAGACTTGTATTTTTAGCACTAAAGAACAACATATTTTTAAAAAAATCCTTGAATGCAGTGGCAAGTTCTAAGAAAGATACAAGTCCAGCTGGAAAAGAATAATGTAACTTATAAACTTGCCACTTGTGGGTTTTACACGTATTTATTGTTAGATCATTTGCTTTCTGATATATTATATATACTTAATGTATGTATCATTTTCCGTGTTGGATGAACTACTTTTCTAATATTTGTTCCCGGGCTAGCTTCAATACCAGATGCTGTAATTAATAATAATTCAATAATGTAAAAATAATCAAAACTTTACTAACACAAGAGAAACATATAACATAGACTCATTGAATACAAAAAGCAAGTTATTAGAATAATTGAATGTTTATGTTGTATGTGTGTGTGTGTGTTATACTATACATATACTATAGGAAATGAGTGGTATGGTATTCAAGTAAGGGCATAAACATTCAATTACTCTAATGTTTCTGTATTTAGAAAGCACAAAATGATTTAATATGAAAATGAACACATTTTAAAAATATTACATATCAATTTGTTCAGTTGCACAAATAAACTTAAAATTTGTAGTGTCATGAGTCCTAAAATGATGACTTTTGGACTACCCCATAAATAAAATTAATGTAGTCTTCTCCTCCACAGTAATGTTACCTGAAATTTTAAGTTTCGTTCTTAGCTTTTTAATAAAGATAATAGTAGCTTTAGCATGGCATCCATGTTTCCTTTTAAAGTTCAAGATACCCATTTGTGTTTTAGCCAAAGCCATTTTTTTTAGCTGCAGGAACTAACCTTTAGAAACTAAATAATAGGGAGTGCATTCTAGAGGTCCTTGTATACATTTGCAAGTATTATGAAAGAAACTCTTGGAAAAAACTCTACTCATGTAGAATAACCCATAAATTTGCTGTTTGTGGAATGATATCTTTAACCAATGTTTTTTACTGTTCAATTCTTACCTCTAATGTATTTTATTGTTCAATTACTGTAGTTGTTTTCTGACTCATTGTGTATACCAAATGTTATCATTTATTTCTGTACTGTATATAAATATTGACCCTTAAACACTTTTTGCTTGTGATTCGGGAGCGAAAGTACCGTATATGTGATTTAAAAGCTGCTTTGCAAAGTTAATGACTCCCAAATTCTTGGATCAAGTTCCACTTCCATTGGTGGGTCTGTGTTTTAAAGGAAACTGTAGCCAGGACGTACCATAAATTTATCCTCTGATAAAGTATCTCATCCTTTATCTTAACCCCCCACGTGTATGAGGACATTTTAAAGCTTTTCCTGAAAATGTCCAACTACTACTTTTGTAGGTGGTCAAGGCAAACTATACATTTATAGGGATTGTCTAGAAATGTTCTCTTTTGCTGTTGACGCCTGCGCAGACATTCCAAAATCAGACGGGGATGAAGTTGTTCTCTCTCAATAAACAGTTAAGACCTTGCTTGCGAAACAATGTGTTGCTGGCTTCCTCGGTGGGAGAAATTTACCTGCAGTCACTTAAGTGTGGTTTGGGGGAGATAGAAAAATAATCCTGCATCGTGCCAATCTTGTCTGGTTTCTTGGTCTTCAAAATGCAATCACGAAAGCACAAGGGATTTGCGTTTTGCGTGGCGGAGATCAAAACCCAGCAATTGAACCACACGATCAGCCTCTCATTTTCTGATTTCCCCGGATGCTCACGCGCGCAGGTATGCACGCATAAACACACACACACACCCAACACATTTATGCATCAATACATCTTCACATAAGTATCTTTGACTACATATGTGGATCTGGGAAGCTTCTATTAGTCGATCGGCGCTTGGGAGAATCCCAGCTGCCGCCTTTCACCGATTCTTTTCCCTTTCTGGGCAGCTTCCGTTGCAGTCAGCTGGGCAAGATGTTAGCAGAAGGGGAAACCGGGGGTCCTTTTCCTATCCCTTAGGACCAGATTGTGTGGGATATAAAGAAACTCACAAACGGAATTGAGGATTATGTTACGGGAGGTCACTTTGGTAGCTGCGGGTCGTGGGAAGAGAGATTTCCCAGACCGAGAGGGCGCAGAGGGCTTTCCCCGATTGCTCTTTGCCAGTGGGAGAAAAGGCCCTCGCCGGGGAAGTAATTTGCACGCGATCCGAGTTTCTGATAAGGGAGGGGGAGAGGGAGGGGCACGTTTACTCGCTAGCTCAAAAATGGGGGATCCAACAAAAGGTGGACCTCCTGGAGAATTCCTGAGCTAAAGAGAGCAATGGCTGCCTCTGTTCCAAAGAGCAGAGTTAGCCTAACGAAAAAGTATCACCAGACTAGCCGATCTTGAGAATTTCCTTGCCTCCAAATAGAGGAGACCAGAGGAAGACACATTACAGAAATCTAAGCAGAAATCTTCCAAATATCTATTTTACAAAAACAATTTCTGTAAATTAAAGCATTTTAAAAAATCGGGATAAAAATAAAATACACAAATACACACACACACACACAAACTTAAATGTTCCTTGTTGATTTGAGTACTTGATGGCAAGCGCCTTGAGCAATATGAATTTCAGTCACCAACTGATGAGAGAAGAAACATTCATTTTCAATAATCATCTTTATTAGTATATTTTTAAAGGTACATGATAAACCTGAGCTACTGCTTTTGTACATTTAACATTATACAAAGACAATTTCCATGTACATTTAGGTTTTTTTTGTGCTCCAAATCCTCAGCCAAGCATCACTTTATCCTTTATCAGTGTTATTATATATATATAATCCTAGAAAATCCATTTTAGTCTACTTTCTTTATTTCCATTGTCTAAGGGCTACTATAATCTAAAGCTCAGGGTATTCCCTCCATTTTTTTTAAAAAAGACCCATATTCTGTAAAACTTCAAAGTTGGTCAGTGCAGTAACTGGTCCCAATATTCTATTTGTGAACAAGTCATGAAAAAAAAATTAATCTATCATTTAGCATGATTAGTTTTTAATACTGTACCAACCAGCTACACATTGATGGAATGATCAGGATAACTTGTTTGCTCTATTTAATTTTCTATTAGCTGAGTTAAGCTATAAATATGTCCCTTTATAATGTCTGGAGAGTTATTCTCCCATTATGGAAAATAAATGACCAATCTAAACAAACTAAGAGATAGCCCAACATCACTCTAAAATCATCTAAATGTATAAAACAAGTCATATCAAATGCTTCCCTTATTTAGACCCTGTAAAGGAACTCATACAAATAACCAGAGGAAAGTTCCAGAAATCCAATCATGGCTTTGGATGTTTAAAAAAAATACAAGAATAAAAAAAGAATATTCAAGTTAAATTGAAATTCAACTTGAAGAGGGTAAATGATTTTGTTTTTCTTTAGCTAGCCTACTAAAATACCATATTTCTCAAACTGGAAATCTGAAAGGATAGTATATCCCTAAGAAAAACTCCACTTCTTTGAAAATGATGCACACTTTTTAAGGTCACGCTGATCTTAGGTGAAAGTTAAAACTAAGCATTTCAAGCAAAATGTTTATTGCTTAACATTCTAAAGCAAGTTGCTTTGACAGTTTTAAAAGTGTACATACAAATGTGAAGCACTTGTAGAAACACCTATAAATATTTCTTGCTTTTACATATTCATCCCCAAATGGCACAAGCACATTTAATACTGAAAAAAAAATACTATAAATTGAAATTGAATTCAGCAGTTCTTTTAAGACAGATGTACAATTGTGTAAACAAAGCTTTAGTATTCAGAGTTTGGGAATCTAGCAGCAAAACAAACTATTTGCATATAATGTAGTGCAATGAACATTTGTTCTTAAAAGGATCCCCAGCCTTAAAACTTTAGTAACAAAACAGAAACATTTAATAGGAAAACTGCTTAAATTACTTGGCTCCTATATCCATCAGATTCTCTAGAAAGCTCCATTTTCCAATAAGATACTATTAGAAGTCTATGCAAAACTGTGTTCTGGATAACTGACTTTTACAGCTCCCCAATAGCAGGCTCGAACCAAGCAGACTAAGCCAAAGAGGTAAGCGACAGCCCACGAAACGTAAGTGGCATGAAATGTTCTAGCAAAATCCTGGGTACCAACCTTTAAAAAGAAACATATGGGGAAAAATATAGTTAATGTACAGTACTAAGTCTTGGAATAGTTTTTTATTTAACTGACAAATTATCAAAATCTGAGATTAAAATTCCCTGACTTCTAACAGATAATTTATTTCTGATAACAATTATATAGATAGTCTTTGACTTATATCCATTTCTTTACTGACCCTTCAAAGTTACAGTGGTCCTCATACTTACAATCATTGCGTCCCCATGACCATGTGATCAAAATTCTACTCGGCAACCAGCATGTATGTATGATGGTTGCAATATCCCTGGGTCATGTGATTACCATTTGTACCTTCCCAGCCAATGTTTGACAAGCAGGGTCAATGGGGGAAGCCAGATGCACTTAACCATGTTATTCACTTAATGACCCTCATGATTCACTTAACAGCCATGGCAAAAATATCATAAAATTGGGCATAATTCACTTAACAACTGCTTCGCTTAGCAACAGAAATACTGTTCCCACTTGTGGTCATAAGCCAGGAATTACCTATCTGCTGCTTTGCTTGAACTGATTTGAAAGACAGAATAATTTAATGTTTTAAAAAATCTGTATAAAACATGTAGTTCTATTGCAAATACTGTGCCGAATACTGAAGAATTTCAGAAAGGCCGCCTCTATAGCATCAGCCAGTCTTACTAAGGTGTTTTTAATTGCTGGATATAAACATATGATAAGAATGTAAGAAATTTTCTGTTAAATGCGTCAAGGAAATGCTTTTTTTTTTTAATTTAGAGTTTTCTAACAGGAAATTGTCACTCTTATCACACTTTTCTCCCTTTCTTCATTTTTTTTCCAGAGAAACTTTGCTGATCTTCTTGTATCTTTCAAGATATTATATGAAGACATTGAGTATTAATTTAGAATATGACTTTACCATTAGTATGTTTCACCATTTATAATAAGATACATTTTTTTCTTAATAGCTTTTTAAATCTTATGCTAATATATACTACATAGTACAACAGTATGGTTTAGTCACCTACAATTGCATATCATGGATGCTAATTCAGGGGGATTTATTCCCAAGTAAGTGTGCACAGTATTGTGCACACTTTACAGTATTGTAAACAAAGAGTTATGTACATACATACTTGAGAATAGCTAATATTTCTCATCAGAACCAAAAGCTAGAGAAGCAGGAACCATATTCTTCTTTACAACACTTTTTTCTAGCAGAAATTAGTAAGAACAAATAGCCTTTATACATGCAAAATAGAGAATAAATTTTCTAAACTAACAAAAGTGTTTTGTAAAAATGTCATTCCTCATAAATTGCAATGTAATATCTATATTAAAACTTCTTCCCTGTGAAAAAGAAAAGCAAAGTCCTTCTGGACAATATGGAAGGTATTGCATGTAATTTCTGATGGGTGATTGTTTGGTGAAAATTTGTCTTGTGGTGTGGGCAACATAAACCAGCCTAGTATGAAGGCTGCATGCTTCCATATTTAGCAGCTGAAAACACCAACAGGCCCATTAAAGATCTAATTGGAGCACAGCCAAGAAGACACAGGGCAATTTCTATTTCATGTACAAGTAATCTTCAAATTTATGATACTTATGAAATCACTGACCAACTTGATTTTACAACTTTTTTGTGGCTGCCGTTTAAAAAATCATCACAGTCATTAAGAAAAATGCCATAGGCTTAAATAAAACCAGTGGTTCACTCAGACATGGTTTTGCCAAAAAGTGACTGGTTATAGGTTGAGGACTACTTGTCATCTGGGCCATAAATTCTAATTTATAATCTGCAAGGGCAGAACTGATTTGCAAACTTTTGATAAGACACTAGTTGAAGACATACCATGTGTCTGAGTCAATATTAAAAACCAACACTAATGTTACTTACAGTTAATCCAACACCAATGAAGATAAATATCATTCCAATTGTAATATATGCACAGCACCGTCTTCGTGGGAGCGCACATCCAACAGAAGAACTGAAAACACAGTATTCCATAGCCAGAATTAAACAATGATTGATACAATGATTTTGAAGGTTCACTGAAGAACGTACAAGATAAAACTATAATTTAAACTCTTTGGGGTTCAAAGTCACATCATGTGTGAAAACTATTTCATTTCATAATTTTAATTGTTTGTTTAGTTGCAGACATTCCAACATATTTGCAGGAACAGTAAGCTATCATGTGATTATCCAAAAGCTCTAAGGCTGATTCCAACAAAAAAGACCCATGTGCCCAACTTGTGATTAGAATTCTCCCCTTAAATCTTGGTGGAATGTCTTTAAACTGATTGACCTAGGCAGTTTTACTTCAATAACAAATGTTCTACTTTAAAACAGAAGAGAAAGCATGACTTGATCACTGTTAATTGAGGCCTTTAATCTGTTCCCTAAGGGTTCCCACTGTTGAAAAAGAAAGAACAAATGCTATGTCTATCACAGGGTAGTTTTAACTTCTTTAGAACTACTATATTTCACACTTTCAGTTTTTATAGGCAATTTGGCTTTGTTACCATTAAAATCCAGATAATGGATATGATTCAAGCAATTTTATTGGTGGTAAAACCTGGTTTTTCTCAACTTTATATTCTGATTCTAAATATAACAAAGACAGTGAGATTTTCATTCTAAAATGTATATGGCAGAAAGTATTTATTAACTTAGATTTGAAATATCTAATTCAAAGCTCAGATGAAGGGTAGTCTCAACCAGATCTATTGGCTAGAGTGCAATTCTACATAGTAATTCATGGGCTTTTAACTTTTAAAAAAAGTGAAAATTAAGCCTACTAAAAATTGTACATGCATCACTCACTTAATTTTACCATAAAATGGATGTCTGAATAGACAATTAGGTAGATAAGCTAACAGGAGAAAAATTAAATTGTTTTCACCGTTTTATTTTCAAATAATTATTGCATACAAAGCATTTACAATCAAGAAAGTTTACAAGATTTTGACTTGAAAATGTTAGAAATGAAAACATCTGTTGACAATGTAAACACTGTAAATGTTATTCTTTTTTTAAAAAAAATATTGAGAACTAATATTTGGAATAAAATTGCAATCACTAGGATTTATAGATGTATTTGTAGGAACTTACATTTTTTTGCAATGTGGGCACTTTGCCAATGTGTTGAATCTCAGTTCCATCCACTGCAATTTAAAAAAAAAACCTAGGTTGAAAAAAATGCCATCATGAAAAATACTTATTTTGCTTCACATTAAATGTCATGGGTATCAAAGCAAAATAGTTTGCTTCTCATGACTTTTATTCCTTATTTTCTTTCGTCACTGCAATGCTCTATTTCAGGCAATAGCCCCATACTTTGTGGTTTGGGATTTCTATGTAAAATAATTTCCTGTGGCTTGCTAGTTACAGACCTCTGTATATTATTCAAGAATTGTAGTACTTTTCAGTACTAATAATTGTAATATCATAAGTGTTCCATGATTACGATTTAACCTACATATAATCATAATGATAGATACCGGTAGGTAGGTAGGTAGGTAGGTAGGTAGGTAGGTAGGTAGGTAGGTAGGTAGGTAGG